TGAGTGAGCGAGCGAGCGAGCGATCTTCAGCCATGAACTTATACATATTAGTTTTCATTTCCTTCTTGAATTTCTGTTGGTCTTTCTCATTTTTGGCTTGTTTAGTTTCATGATGTTTTACGATGACATATGTTAACCAAATCAGCGAGCCTGACCACCCGATCCCGTAAGTCGCCTCTTACCTAGGATTTGCATAAATGCATTAGCTGGTGCATTACGTTTGTCATTAAAAGATGATATCCATTGCAAAATCCTGTTGTGAAAAACGTTTTGTTATATTGAGAATTCAAATAATTATAAGGATTACTATTGTAATACCCTATAACAATAACACTTGTCATGATAGTCTTCTTCTTCGATTTGTATATTTTAATACTGTCTATCTCTTTCACATTTATATATATTCTTGTTCTCTAATGTAGCTTTAATGTCTGTCTATGGTAAAAAAAATTTTTTTTTAAAAATAGCTAAACTATCATTTTCCGTAAAGTTTTTAAATTGATCCTCTGTGGTGAAATGTCTTAAGTAAATAAATGCTGGAAAAGCGGTCTGTAGAAAATCATATCGTAGATCGGAATAATATTCACATTTGGTTAAGAAATGTACACGGTGCCCTCTCACTGCTGTACACACAGCGACCAGGTCATGCTAGAAGTGGAGATCTATCCAGGTCAACCTTCTTCTCAAAATTTACATACCACTTCAGAGCAGATAATATTGTTTTAAACTTTCTCCACGAGATTGCTCGGAGAGGACACATGAACGTACTGGAAGGCTGGTGACGGTGTCGTAGGCATAAATATTTTAAGATAGTTTAAAATTAATCTACCAATTAACACAGTCAACACACCATCTCCAAGCTAATAAAGGACCATTTTGTTTTCGCTCCATATCTAGCCACCATGATAGATGGATTGCAGCTTCCTCTTGTTTATATGGGAATAGTTAATATGTGTGTATTGATATCTGGAATTCTGTGGCATCGTTAGTGTTTAATAACATGACCGACCTTCCTTCTTCCACATAACAGTGTGCGGGGACACACACACACACACACACACACACACACTCGTGTATTTCATGCAACTAGGCCATAGGTTGCTGTTTATGTCGAATAAATAGTGAGTTCAATTTCAACAGGTTAAGGAGACGCACCGCCCCTCTCTATACACACACGTGACAGGTTGCCAGTGAGAGCGACCCCTCCTCTGTACAAACTCAAGTTTGAACTTACAGGGACGGGTGTGCTTCACACCAGTTCTATACAACTGTGCGAGTCTCCACGTCTCTATACTATCCGCCAAGGTAGGGTTTGAATATATTTCATGTGTGACCAAAACGTAGTTCTCGTTTGTCAAACAACCATAGAACAATGTTCAAGTAGACATCAACGTGATGTAGAATCCAAAAATAAATCGTTTCTAAAAAGCATTGCTTGGATGATTTTCATACATTTAATCAGATTTGAACTTATCCCATACTAACGCCATTCAAGTATGTTCAACGTTCCATGCCACGGATATTGGATAGAAATTACGTAGTGGTCCCATTACCACTATCATTTTCTACTTTATAACTGAAAAAGAGTGTTTATTTGTGATTTAGCTTCGCACTCAATTATCCAGCGATGTGACGCCTGTCTGTAAATAACCAAGTCTGGACCAGACAATCAAGTGATATGATTATCTTCCCCGAGTTATATTGATTACTTAATTCTCGTGCCTTGTCGAGAGAACTGCATACTTTATATACTGAGTCAAAATAAAACTTCACAATTTATATTTGCATATAAAAATATGAATTGTTATAGTAAACTCAAGAAAATACACACACCAGCACATTGAAGTCAGTCCAAACATCGTGCACCCCACATTAGTGTTAAAACGTCTTTTTCACGTGTCAGTGGTCACGTGATCTGATCATTGCACATGCATTCGACCGCACATGTTTCCATCAACTGTACAAAGTGAAAAAACACTTTAAAGCACTAACAAGAACAGGCAGTTCTTATGCTGCGCCACTGTAAGCGGGAACGTCAGTAAGTAACGTTGCAGGCAACACCGTTAACGCTCAGTGTTGTGTACAGGAAGTTGACAGATTTGGGGGCTGACGAGTCATCGTTTGGGGTGCTTTCTGTGAGATTCATCGTTCTCGACTTCTGGTTATCCGTGGTAATCTTAATGCTGCAGTTTGCCGCGACCAGATGCTAACCGACGAACTTATTCCATTCATGGCAGCACATGGTCTATGTATGCACTTTCAACATGACAATGCCAGACCCCATACAGCCAGTTTGACCAGGAATTACCTGCAGAATCAACGTTGTTGACTGGCCGTCAAGGTCACCTCTTCTCTGGCATGCTCTTTGTAGAGGTCTGCGCACTCTCAGGAACCAACCTCAGAATTGGCAGGATCTTAGTGCTGCCTTGCAGGAACAGTGGCGCTGACTCCCCAAAAATGTGTTCATACGCTTCAGACAGTCCATGAAAAGGCGTTGCTTGACAGTTGTGAACGTACACGCTACTGAACGTTCGAAACATCAGATTTAATATCTTGTGACTTGACACTTTGTTTACGCCTTTTATTGATAAACTCTGTAACCACATGGAACCGATGGAACCGAATTTTGATTGTGAACTTTCTAGTTTGACTCAGTAGTTTTCGATCTGAAAAACGCTAAAATGAAAACAGCAGTTTCTCTATAAGGAAACCCGCGATGTGGGGAATCCCCAAATCCCTACGCGTGTGTAGCGTGCTGAAATAGGTGATACAAACTGCGGGACTTCTTTCCAATAATGTCATCGCATTACCGCTATCTTAAACGTGTGTATTACGCGAGACTAAATTGTCCCTTGCAAACAAAACGTATTTTATCAAATTCATGTGTGAGTAATTCATTTGGAGATGTAACGTATGTCAGTCGCATGGAATGGCGAACTCATCCGGCCAGAAACATAGGGCTGGACAACGTGATCATGACGACATAATCTACAACAGATTCTTCCAAGTCAACTGTGAAATTGGTTTTATTGGATTGTCAAACTTTTGATCGTCAATAAAAGAAATGACAAGTCATTCACTTTTATTGGTGATAGGGATGACGCCATGTTTGTATTTATCGACAACACAAGGTATTGTATTACCTTTGGAACATTGTATTTTTTTGTTTTTCTACTAGCGTTATTTCCAGTCGTTTATATGAAATAGTGACGTATTTATCGATAAACAAATCTGAACGTTTATTGCGTAATTATTTTTCTTATTCTTCTGTACAAAGGAGTTTCTGTGTAACACAGTGAATGAACGGAAAAGATGAAGGAAGTAGTTCCGGCATATTGTTTTTTAACGAATGAAATCGTATATTTTCTTAAAAAGCCAATCAACGTTTACCGAAAGGTGTAACCTCCATAGGGAAAATTGCCACCCTGTGTCCTCCTTCCTATATTGGTAATAAAATATCGCCCGAAACAGGCCGCATCATCTCCCTGATCAGTTCTTCCTGGCGGGAAGGTTTGGTTTAGATCAGGTTATCTACAGGTTTCACTTAGTCCATTTGCCCCATAAGGTCTGTCTGCCCAAATCCAGTTATTGGTGTGGAAGGTCTGGTTCTAATGAAAGTCTTCAACGGGGACGGTTTGGCCTAGTCATGTTTTCAAAGAGAGTTGTTTAGAAGTTGTTTGGGCAATGTTACCACATTCAGCACCTCATCAGTGACAACCACCATGCCCAATGCCATATTCAATTTGACTTGTACAATGCGTGTAGGTGTTTAATTTACTGGTGGACAATTGGCAGTAGTAGGTTAAGTATAAAATATGTTACTGTTTATGTTTTAGATTCTATATGTTCAATTTTAGCAAATATACCTTCATGCCATCTGCATTTGAAATGCTACCTGTTTCACTACGAAATGTCTGTTCGTGGGAAGACACTGCCATCTAATAATTAAACACAAAATTGGAATAAGGCAATGATGGAACTGGATTAAAGTTATTATCTTGGATATATATTCAATATGTGAAATCTTCAAGCATCGTGCTCAGAAAAGAAAGAGCCCTAAGTCATCGGCACTTCATACCATATATTTGGGAATACACTCTCTTAGTAAAGTACAGATTTTAGTACGTTTATTAGGTTGAGTACCATCCGGGATTTGAACCCATATTTTCAGAGCGAGGCACTTAATCGCCAGCAGAGAAAGTCTAACCGCGGTGCCTAGGTGGGTATCATCACTAAATTTGTGTGCAATATTTATTAAACCCATACCCTTACCAAATCATAAGTAAAAGTGATCTATGTTTGTTTGTTTGTTTGTTGCTTTTGTTTTGTTTTGTTTTTTGTTCGTTTGGTTTTTTTCATTCATAAAATAAGTTACACAAATAGGGATAATCCTATACTTTTATCCATTTTAACGTGGGGAATCAAACCCAGGTCTTCGGTGTGACGAGTAAATCTCGTAACTACTGGGCCCCTTGCCTTTAGACATATTTCCTTTGGTATGACATTTAGCATAGCAGGAGCATAGCGTTTCACAGCAAGTCGGCAACAGACTTCTGTCAGTCCTGAATTGTTATTCCGCAGTGAAATAACATGAAGTCTTTTGCTATCTCCAGTTTCCCCGCCGATGTGAAAATAAATACCCTGATATGATGAAAGAAAACTGTCACCCTTACATCTCAGAAAAACTTTATTTTTTCGTTATCTGAGCAGACATACAAAAAGTACACACTTAGTACTTTGGGATCATTTTTCAAAAGACAACGTACCAAATGAAAGTATTGCTTGCGTTATTTATAGAGATCCTTGGGACACACTGAGCTTGTCACAGGGCTTAAACACAGTAAATAGGTCATTCCAGTTTACCGAGCACAGCTGAAAATAGGTTCACGTTTATTCGACTCAGTGTAGCTGGGCCAGAGGTTTCTAACTTCGTCCAATGAAAAACGAGCTAGATTACAACAGGTTTAGCAACCTCATAGATATCTGAATACACATGACGTGTTGTCATTATTTCAACGAGGGCGACGGCTGAGAACACACAGGGATAGGTGTGCTCCACACATTACACAGCTCTCCACGGTTTCATAACTCCGTCAAGGCAAGAATTCTCTTTATCTCTTCCATAAACAGAATGCACCACTCATTCAATGAGTAAATCTAAAACTCTGATGAACATTTGAATTATTTTTTTTATTATGTCTAATTAACCTTTTCTTTATGTCCACGATTTTAACGGAATTTGAAAGCGTGACATGAATGAGTGTTCGCATAAACGCAAAAAACCTGCGTGTTTCCCACAAATATGAATCTACATTTCAAGCACAATATTTTCTACCTGCATGTTTAACACGCAAAGCATATTGTGTCCTTGGATAAAAAAAATTTTAAAAGTATTTTCCCGAAGGAAACAACAAAATAAAATACAGTTTCACTCAGCTAAGGTGACTTGTGAATGATGACCCGGGGCCGTGGGGTAGCCTGGTGGTTAAAGCGTTTTGTTGTCACGCCGAAGACCAGGGTTCGATTCCCAATATGGGAAGCCGATTTCTGGTGTCCTCCGCCGTGATATTGCTGGAATATCGATAAAAGCGGCATAAAACTAAATTCACTTGAATGAGGGCCCGAGAGACATCGAATCTTTCTGGCTCGGGCATACACCTGCGGTGAAAACACACCCAAGATTCTTGGGGCTATGCGTTTTAGGAAAGCTTTATTTCCTACAGCGAACACGGAGTATATATAGAGAATACTACACGAGGTCTCATTACATACGAATTATACGAAACGAGTGTCCTTCCTATGGTATCTGACCGAGCGAGTAACATAGGAAGGTCACGAGTTTCGTATAATTCGTATGTAATGAGGCCGAGTGTGGTATTTTAATTATTACCCACGTCTTACATGCATTAAATTGACAAAATAGCGTATTTGTGTTCATATTTTGGTTTCAAACCGAAACCGGTTTCATAAAGAGGTTGCGGAAGTGTTTTGCACTGTAGTAAAATATTTGCATGACGTCACTGTAATGACGTCACTGCCTTGGTAACCGACGTCACGATGCATGTCAGTTGTCATCGCCTCATACAGCCTCCTACAGTAAACTACTCCGTAGCACCCCGTTTCTTGGTTTGCAGTTGCTTCATTCGGCTAACATCACTGGTGGAAACATTGCGTTTACGTTTTTCGACGGGTATAATGTCTCAGTTCGGCTCACAATTAAACAGCAACACTGTAACGTTCGCGGTGTTTACATTTAAGTTCTGGAATGAATGGATTCACGTGTTTGTTATGAATGAAAAAATAGTTACGTCAGAATGTGACCTAATTGAGAGGTCATCGGTTATCCAATCAAATCGTTAGAATCTCAGGTCAAGTCGTTACGACACAGGTCAACGCGATACGACACTCGTGTGACGTACGAGATTAGTATGCAACTACCCATACGTTGACCACGTGGGTAATAAACGTGGTTATTTTATTAGCTGATTCTCATTGAATAAGTTGTCCAAATCCGCCTCTTAGGACTAACATGTGTTGTTGAATAACATTTCTCTATCGGATCGATATGTGAATAACCACATACATAGAGGCACTCACAGGAATCCCGTGTGAGAATATAACAGTAAGTTTTGTGATATACTACTCACACTTTGCTGAGGATCACAAAAATTCACAACTATACTTAAACGTAGAGTTATAATTTGAAACTGTATCCATTTAAAACTGGATAAATAATAATATGGTAACACCTCTTTAGGCAAACAGCCACTTTAATCTAATCTTATGTACCTGATACATGCAACCATAAAAATGGTTTTCATGGCACCAATCAACCATTTTGCAAATCATGGAACGAGTCATTGCCAAATAAACAACACATGTCATTAGCAGGTATGGGATCCACAAGATGCAATGACATACTGAAACCTAGGATCCATGCTTACAATAAGCTTAGATTTTTAAAGTAACTTTGACCCCGCATAATAGTTTTTCTGTTGAATACATGATTTGATCCTTATTAAAGTGTGAATATTATATAATTCCCCTGCTTGCATGCCATTATATCCCATGCGTGGGTTGCTGTGTGTGGTTGCCTTGTCTAGAGCTACTTATGTACAGACAATAATAATTTGCTAGGGTATTGCTGAGTATTGCGGTCATCAATGAGCAAACTCAGTCTATCGTGAGTGGTTGAAACACTTCCACTCTCGGATTTCATGAATACTGTAAGGGATTTTTTTTTTAAATGTCTGTCACGAAAACATTTAATCACACTTTTACCGATTGCACACATGTTCACTCACTCATTCACTCACTTACTGACCCACCCACTTACTTACTCACTCACCCACTCACCATCCGAGTTAGAAAGAAAATCTCGAATCGATCGTCTTATTGCATGAGGTGTTGAACTGACCAATGGGAATTCTGTTTGGATTGACCCACCTAATCAGTACCAAGGTTTTTGTTATGTGTATAAACTTTTGTTGTCATGTGAAATTAGAGTGTAAATATATTGTATATATTATAGGCGTCTGACTTTCTATGCTGGCGTTAATCTGCCTGACTCTGAGCATATGGGTTCGAATCCCGGATGGGACTCAACCCAACAAAAGTACTAAAATCTGTACTTTATTCAGAAAGTGTAAAACGAAATATTACATATGCAACATATGTTTGTTTTGTAACATATGTCACATACCTTACATAGGTGAGGCATTGCAAACCTTAGATACCAAGATATGCAAATGAATATTCTTGAATTTCGATATTTTGTGAGATTTCCTTATGTGCATTAACATGTTTGTTATGTAAAATTAGTTTGTAAATATATTGATATTTAGATGTATGTCATTGAACAACCCTGTTTAGTAAGAGTGAGTGAGTTTACTTTTACACCGCATTTAGCAATATTCCAGCAATATCAAGGCGGGGCACACCAGAAATGGGCTATTACTACGATAGGAATACAATAAACTTTGACCTTTTTCAAGCCGTGCACGTTTTAGTGTGTAAAACTCTTTTGAAAAGACATTGATATTTATGTATATGTACTATTAAAGACAATGTGCCTTTCAGGTGAGTTATTGTGTGAAAACTCAAATAATTTGAGGATGTTTATGTTGCTTTTTAACTTTGAACATGTCAATGCCCTCAGACATGAAGTGATCTCAAATAGGTCTCTGTATGTTCGTGGCACTGATTTCATCAATAAATCGTTTTCACCTTCAAAGGGGATTGAAGTAGAGTACATATATTTTCCTCCTGAGAGTATGTAAGTCCCAAAAATCATTCGAAATAAATTTAGACCTACTAGGATTTTAATTGTGGGATATGTGTTTTTAAGTGATGGCTAAATTTTAGCACAATCACAAACGTCTGAGGGGACGATGTAAATCTACCCAGGGTCCTTGCAGGTATCACAAGTACTGTACGTAGGTTGCCTGTTTTTATCTGTTGTATTGTCCGAATAGAGCTATTTTTTAAACATTAAATGCTAGCTAAAATCTGACTGTGATATTGTAGTCTAGTATAGTAAGTCCAAGTACATCAAAAGTGGTAAATTTTGTGACATGATACTTATCAACATACTTTCATTCCTTTACAACCTCCAAAACCTGAAAAAAACATGACATTTGAGCAAAAGTAGAAATATCTGGCCCATGTGCCTAAGAAAGGGTTGGCCCATGGGCGAGATATTTAAATATTACTTTAACGTAGCTGAAATATGTCACGAAACTTATAAACATACTTTCATCTATTTACAACCTCCAAAACATGAATTCTTAGCGAAACTAAACATTCTCGCCCATGAGGTAGTTTAAATTTTGAGCTTTCGAATACAAATCAAAAATCATTTTATCATCCTTAAGATGTTTTCATGATAAGTGCATGTTGAAGTTTGTCAAATACTTTGTCAGAAAGTGGCCACAGTTCAGTTTCTTCACTTTGGGGTTTTTAGAATTATATTGTGGCATGATATACTCACTCACTCACTTACACAATACTATTTTACTCATTTCACAGACAAACCATGATGCAGATACTGCTGTGCACCCTGGTCCTATCCCTCCTCACAACACCACAGCTAGCTTCTGGACAGGAAGTTGACACTACGCATGGGAATGTTGTTGGTCTCAGATCAACTGTCCTTGGAAAGACCATTGACACGTATTATGGTATTCCTTATGCCAGACCACCCATAGGTGATCTCAGGTTCAAGTACCCGCAACCAATGGACTCTTGGACACCGGAAGTCAAGGAAGCACGTTCAATGAAACCATCTTGCCTTCAAGCAGTTGAACCTTCACCTGGTATGCCCTGGAGAGCAATTCCGTCCACCTTCAGTGAGGATTGTCTCTACATCAATGTATGGGCACCAGCTAATGTCACAACTAGTAGGAAACTTACAACCATGGTTTGGATCTATGGCGGGGCATATCTGACAGGATCTATCAACATGCCTTTGCATCATGGTCAGTATCTTGCTGCTGAAAACAACGTCATCGTAATGTCCATGAACTATCGTTTAGGAGCTCATGGATTTCTATATCTTGGACCTGACACGTTTCCTGGTAACCAAGGTCTCATGGATCAGGCCCTTGCCCTGAAGTGGATTCAGAACAATGTTGGAAGATTCGGCGGAGATGCAAGCATGATCACCTTATTTGGAGAAAGTGCAGGTGCAGCCTCGGTTGGTCTCCATTTGTTATCGCCAATATCACGTGACTTCTTCACGCGTGCCATTCTTCAAAGTGGTACCCCAGATGCATCATGGGCATTTTCTGAAGCATCAAAGGCTATTGGAAGCACTAAAAGACTTGCAGAGCTGTCGAACTGTAATGCAAAATCTGATGCTGACATTTTCCAATGTATCCAAGATCTACCACCAGAAACGGTAATTGAAAATCAGGCACTCCTTTCAGGTGATGGACAATTCGGTCCAGTCGTGGATGGTCATTTCTTACCCGATTCTCCTGCATCACTCATTGAAAAAGGACAAATGAAGCAAGTGGACATCCTTCTGGGGGTGAACAAAGATGAAGGCAGTGCATTCCTCATTGCGATTTTGCCTACAATATTTCCTGTATTTACAAATCAACTTAATATCAACAGAACACAGTTCCTAACGACTGTAAATGCCCTAACAAGTGGACAGTCGTCTGCCGTTGCCAAAGCTATTACCGCTCAGTATGCTGATATCTACGTCCCTTCTCTACATCCAAACTACTTGGCCAGTGCTGACGGAGTTCTTGGAGACAGTTTCTTTAAGTGTCCAGCTACCAAACTAGCTGCTGCACATTCTGCAAATAACAATGTTTACTTGTATTCCTTTGAGTATAGGATCCCATCGTTGCCACTACCACAATGGATGGGAGTTCCTCATTCGTTCGAGATAGAATCGGTGTTTGGACATCCTCTCGGGGATGCCTTTACTTCGACAGATGTGGATAAGTCAATCAGTCGGAGCATGATGACTTACTGGACGAATTTTGCTAAAAGTGGGTAAGTAATTCTTGTTGTGGATGTGAAAGGAATCGTGATTATAATCGGCGGTAATTGAGCAGATGTACCTGTTCATCGTAATCGGGGCGTACATTTCACAGTGATATAACAAACTGTTTGCAATCTTATGCTGCTTGGTTATCATCACTAGTTACATCGTCACGTGAGATAAACTGAATCAACCAGAATCAGAAAAGAGTTAAAGCGAAAGTTCATTTGTGAGAGCTTTTTATAGGTGGCCCTATCCTCTGTCTTGGTCAGAATGTCCGAGTTGGGTATTCAAGTTAAACGCCTGCATGTTGTCGCTGTGGGGTAGAACTTTCGAAGATAGCAAGCGCTTCCTTCGTAGGATCAACAATGTGAATTATATGATCGTTTTATAACTTTCGATAACTTCGCGAACATTTTGGTGTCCTCATTCATTTTCAGTGGTTCATTCATTCAGTGATTTTCACAGTTTGTTTGTCTTTAGATTAAATGAAATCTGCTTCTGAGGTTTTGCACTGACTTATTATTTCCACATTATTTCTACATCTTTCGAGGTATGTGTGGTTACTTCCCCCGGAAACAATTGGCTAAAACTCAGGGTTTGGGAACCTAAGCACATGGAATATATGGCCATTATGGCGATATTCTAACATGTGCTGGAATATTTGCAACTAACCAAACTGAATCAACCTGAACCATTGAAAATAGCTTTCATGATACATTGTTCTCAAAAAAAACTATTGCACGAGAAAGACAATCAATACATGTACATAAAAAATTCATTTGTCAGCGTTGGAATTGTTGAGCATTGCCTTATGTCAAAGTTGTCATAGATAATGAAATTACATAACGGTTTGACGATTGTATTTTGGAGAGTGATGTTAATTTCCTGTGTGTAGTGTATGTATGCTATTTCTTAAGGTGATTTTAATTACCTAATGCTGTTACATACAGTGTTGGGGTACCTTGGCGTTCGCTCGTCTTGCCGGAGACTCAAGTTCGATCACAACATTGGTACAATGTGTGAAGCCCGTTTCTGGTGTCCCCCACCGTGACTTTGCTGGGATATCGCTAAAAGAGGCGTAAACCTATACTCACTCACTACATAAGTTAATGTCTTTTCATACGAATCCCTGTTACACCGATTCCCTGTGAAATATGTGAGATGTGTGTTACGGACAGAATATCAAGAGAGACAACTATCGAAAGAGAAAGTTTTGGTAAAGGGACCACAGGCCCATTTTACATCAGGTGGACAGAATATAAAATCGTGTATATCACGTCAGTAACAACCATCGTGTATTATTACTTACTGTACAAGACCATATGGGGTTAGTTGCGTTTTCTGATTGGTCAGTTTCACTTTGTGGTGTAATGAGAAATCCATATGTTGTCTAACCGATGAATGTCCGGGTTAGAATGAACTTTCAGTAACCCATGCTTGTCGTGAGAAGCGACTAACGGGATCGGGTGGTCAGGCTCGCTGACATGGTTGACACATGTCATCGGTTCCCAATTGTGCAGATCGATGCTCATGCTGTTGATCACTGGATTGTCTGGTCCAGACTCAATTATTTACAGACCGCCGCCATATAGCTGGAATATTGCTGATTGCGGCGTAAAACTAAACTCACTCACTCCATATGTTCTATATAAATGTGAATATTCATAATTGCTTAAAATAGTTTGTAACGATAAGTTACTAATCGCACCAGCAAGTGGGGAACTGTTATGTTAAAGGGTAGTCCAACCATTTTCACAGAAACCCCAACCTTCCGGAAACACCAAACTACCAATGGCCGACGTACAACTGGATGGATGAACGTTTCCTGGTCTTCTCCTCGTCCGGACTGTCCACAGAGCAGGGCATGAGAAAGTCGCAGTGTGTTTTCCATAACACTCTCTTGCCATTGATCCGAAAGACCAAAGACACATCTACAGGCAGTAAGTCTCATTCTTTTTTTGGCACAGGTATGTGTCGTAGAATTATGTGGACATTGATGTAGTCAGGCGCCTGAACGACTGAACTCCATCGGACATTCGGACATCGGTGCTTTGGTCCTATCGTAGAGTATCAGTGATTTTGTTTAAGAAAAGTTTGTTATCAAATGATACTTACATCACTCTCTAGGATGCAACAGCCCTATCACATTTAGTTGTTTGATAGCAAATTGGTATTTCCATTTGGGCATTTCAGTACTTTTACAACTTTATTATGGCCCTAATACGCAAGAAAGGAAAACACTTTGTTGAACTGCAAACGTCACTGCGTATCATAATGGTCATATTTGATGCATACTGTAATAAACAAGCTGATTCGTGGTATCTGATTAAAACGTATCAAACAACACTCAAAAGCATTGGTGTTTCTGTGACTCAAGTATTCCTGATTCTTCTGTTTCAGCAACAACTGAGGTTTACAGATGTCACACCAGTGGAAGCAGGATGTCATTTACTGTGAACACGTGTCTCGTTGCTGTACTTGCAGCATTAGTGAGTGTGTAAACATGGAGCGATATCCACAATGTACTCACTGAAAAATCACAAAATAAATCCCGAGAAGGGAGGCTCGTGTAACGTAATCATCGGATAATACAAAGCTCTTCTGTTTCTTTTCGCTTCTGGGAGAAAAGTTTGATTGGAAACTGTTGAATATATGCAGAAAGAAAATTTTGTCATGTATAGTTTAATCGATGACTTCCTCTAATAAGTATTTAGTGACATGATTTGTAACATACGATTCGAAAGAGATCATGTGACCGTTTGTATATAATACCAAATCCTTTTTTATATTGCAAAACAGCTGTTGAAATGGTCTCGTATTCATTTTCTTATTTTTGTACTAACACAGATGCTTACTTATTCAGCATTTTATTTACACGCGTGTTGCACGTTGCCTCTCTTATAGTAAACGCCTAACCTTTGTCATCTAAACATTATGGTGACATGCCTAGCCCTATTTCTCGTAGCCTCTTTCATGTGTGGTTATCTCTGTACCATTCTATACATTTATAGGACAATCTGTTTCATTTAAGTTGACATGTCTATACGTTGGTATGATTTGTAACGCCTATTGACGTCATTTTCTCATTTTTGTACTAACAGAGATGCTAACTTATTAAGAATTATTTGTATACTCATTGCACATAGCCTCTTTTATTGTAAACATCTTACCTTTGTCATCTAAACATGATCCTTACATGCCTATTTCTCGTAGCCTCTTTCATGTGTGGTTTTCTCTGTACCGTTGTGTACAGTTTTAGGACAATCTATTTAAGTTTACGTGAATATACGTATATGTGTTATGATTACTTAGATTTGAATCCCTCAATTACTAAATCCCTGAATTACTAAAATCAATTTTGTTGTACATTAAAAAACACCATGTTGCTTTTGTCATTTTTATCATAGTTTATACTTATATATCCCCTGTGATGGAAATACTACCTGTTTCTCTCTGAATTGTACTCATAGGCACTCAGACGATTAATAAAATAAACTGGAATAACGCTATGTTTGGATGAGACAATATATCAATCGTATTTTAACGTCGACATATTATATGTTCATGTATTGGATGTCTTTTTCTAGACTTTTGGTGTAAAATAATAAAAAAAGCTATCATACTCAGTTTTCTTCAGTTGTCGGTTTTCTTTACAGTCAGTATAGTTGAAAAGTTTGGCTTTGATATTGCATACATTGAAGAAGATGTTGGAATGTTTGGCCAAATTCAGTTCTTCCCCATTGAAGGTTTGGCAAAATCCACTTCCTTCCTGTGGAAGGTTTGGCCTCGTCCAGTTCGTTCCTGAGAAAAGTGTGGCCAATTCCAGTTCTTTTTCTGGAAAGGTTTAGCTAAGTCAACATCTTCCCGAGGAAAGTTTTGCTAACAAGATTTCAAACAGAATCATATGATAATTTGAACAAGTTTATAACACGCAAGATATCAGTAAAGTTTTCAAAACGTTTTATGTTAAATATGTGAATGACATTTCACAGTTTGACATATCAGTGACCGCATGCCTGATGCAATTCCCTATTTTGACTTGTACCATACATTCACACTGACTAACCTTGCATTTAGTTTTGAAGGGAGAAACCGTAGGGGTGGAGTAGTATACCATCAGGAAAATCTGGTATCATAACAATTTGATGGTAATTTACACATGCTGAGTCAAATAGGACAATCCACGATAACCTGTGGGAAAGGCTTTGTCGCTATTTTCCCAGTGTATGACCGAAATAGCTTCTTGTGATGTGTCATCTGGTTGGCGTGAATTGGTAAGGTATGATAAGTCTGGTCTCAGGAATATAATGCTTTTAATGATATGGATAATCTTTCTCACGGTCCTCACAAGATCAGTTCCAACCCGGGTCTTGAACATTGTAGAGAGGTGTATCAAGGGACGGATTTCGTTTCGCACTGTTATTGTATTCCCAGTAATTATTGTTCGACAGCGTGGCATGATAAAACATGACTATTTAACTGAATTGGTGTATATTTAACAGTGACGATAACTGTGTTACATATATCACCGGCGGGTGTGCACGATTGTATGAACTGGTATTATTACATACCACATAAGGTCTTTGTCCAAAGCCTGTGTTCGATTTCCCACAGGGTTCATTTTGTGAAGCCTGTTTCTGGAGTCCATGCCTTTCTTCAGCTACACACATTCCAAAGTGGCGTGTAATGAAAACAAATGTGCAGTCAGGGTCAAGATATGGTTACTGATCTACACGACTTTCTCCTAAAAGGACTGCAGTCACAGCGAGCTATGTTTGTAGTGAGTGAGTAAGTTAATTCATATCGGCAGTACTTCAGCAACATCGTGACTATGAGAGTTGTATGATAAATTGTAGTAATGTAACTATTAACGTGACTGAGTTGAAACGTAATGCTCCCTTAACTACCGGATGTAAACAACTGCTCCATGTGTACCCCCAATGCATAATGGGACTATAACGTCATCGGGCCATGTTCTTTTTGTGAAGCCTGTTTCTAGTGTCCATGTCATTTCGAGAAAAAGGCCAGCTGCACATATTCCAAAGTAGCATCTAATGAATACAATGTGCAGTTAGCATCAGTATATACTTACTGATCAAACATGTCATCATATCCCAGGTGCGTAGATCGATGCTCATAATGTTGATTTTCCCGACCAGACTCGATTATTTACAGACCACTGACATACAGTTGGACGAATGCTGGGTGAGGCGTTAAAGAAACAAACATTCCGACGTGAAACGATAGAAAACATTCCCTATCTCATATCATATCTCATGGCGAAATGCCATATAAGTCCTCTGTTATGACCCACAGTGACAGGGTGACTAAACATTTCTCGTCTATTCAGTGTTGCTTGAATAGGGTATGGGTTTCACAATACTCGCTTACTCTCCTACAAGCAGCGACGACCTTGCATGGCGCCCTTTCTATCAAAGGTTGAAACAGGACATTCAGAGCATGACATGTCTATTACGAAAGATCCTCGGGATGTTCTGCTGAGAAAACACACATCGCTTGTCAACGGTACATGTACTTGTAAGTGCACTGGACATAAGCATTAAAAAACAGTAAAGTGGTCCTGCAGTTAACGATGGACTATTTCGTCGTATCACAGTTATCCACCATCAAAAATGGATTTTGTTAATAATGTTTTTTTCTATCAATTATTAATTACTACAGTACGCAGTATTAACATTTGGATTCTCAGTGTTATATGGGTAGTGGGGTACCCTAATGGTTAAAGCGTCCGCTCGTCACGTCAAAGACCTGGGTTCGTTTCCCCAGTGGGTACAATGTGTGGAGCCCACTTCTGGTCTCCGCCGCCGTGATATTGCTGGGATATTGTCCATGTCTTATCGAGAAAAAGGTCAGCTGCACCTATTCCAAAGTAGCGTCTAATGAATACAATGTGCAGTAAGCATCAATATATACTTACTGATCTGCATGACTTTCTCCTAAAATTAATACAGTCACAACACGCTATGCTTCTTGTGAGTGAGTGAGTGAGTGAGTTAAAATTAATTTCCCATCGGCAGTATTTCAGCCACATCGTTACCATGAGAGTTGTATGATAGATATAAACTCAGGCAATATAAATATCTTTCGACCAATGATGTAAAACATCCCGACAATCACAGATGTAAACTTAAAACTAGCATATAATCATAAAACAATATTTCTGCAGAACAACAATATAAAACTGAGATCGCAAACAACTGAAAGGTAGACCAAAGGACCATGGGGACTTACAGTACTTTTGCTACCTGCATGGACAGCTAGAGTAACACCATTCCTTCAGTCGGTGGCGATATTGAGAAATTGTAGCCAAAATAGAAACGACAAATATTCTGCGTTTATAACCAGGGGTAGATAAAATGTACCTTGAATGATATGGACTTACTGTACCCCATCAGGCTATGGTTGTAAGTGGAGACTAAAGTTTGTGACTCAGGCATCTAAGCGCCAACACATAAAGTCAACGATCTAACCGCTGTGGCTGAGTTGGTCGAGAGTGTGGATTCGAATCCCGGATGTTACTTAACCGAACAAAAGTAACAGAATCTGCACTTTACTGAGAACGTGTTATCTCATACATACATGAAGCATGTGCTAACATGCATTAGGTATTCGTCGGCTCTTCAGTTTTAGATTTTGTTTTGCAAGTTTAATCGCCCAACTAATTATAGCCCCCGTTAGCAATCTTTTCCTTACGATTTCTTATGAATGTGGAAAGGGTTTTGTCGCTTCTATATACTCGTCCCTGCCACATATAGACTACCCAGTGCAAGTCTGCAACAGATAGAACTTTGTATATCTAAAAGTTCTCCTATTTCCTTCTCGTGATATCCATCTCCCGCCAGACCAAGTTCATTCCGACGTGACCCGTGAAGATCCGGCTTCGAATTGGTCTTCAGCAACCCATGCTTGTCGTAAGAGGCAACTAACGTGATCGGGTGGTCAGGCTCGCTGACTTGTTTGAAACTTGTTATCATATCCCATTTGCGTAGATCGATCTTCATAATGTTGATTTTCCCGACCAGACTCTATTATTTACAGACCACTGACATACAGTTGGACGAAGGCTGGGTGAGGCGTTAAAGAAACAAACATTCCGACGTGAAACGATAGAAAACATTCCTTATCTCATACTATGGCGAAATGCCATATAAGTCCACTGTTATGACCAACGGTTACAGGGTGACTAAACATTTCTCGTCTATTCAGTGTTGCTTGAATAGGGTATGGGTTACACAATGCTCGCTTACTGTCCTACAAACAGCGACGACCTTGCATGGCGCCCTTTCTATCAAAGGCTGAAACAGGACATTCAGAGCATGACATGTCTATTACGAAAGATCCTCGTGAGGCTCTGCTGAGAAAACACACAACGCTTGTCAACGGTACATGTAGTTGTAAGTGTACTGGACATAAGCATTAAAAAACAGTAAAGAGGTCCTCCCAGTTAACGATGGACTATTTCGTCGTTGCAAAGTTATCCACAATCAAAAATGGATTTTGTTAATAATGTTTTGTTTATCAATTATTAATTGCTACAGTACACAGTATTAACATTTGGATTCTCAGTGTTATATGGGTGGTGGGGTACCCAAATGGTTAAAGCGTCCGCTCGTCACGTCAAAGACCTGGGTTCGTTTCCCTAATGGGTACAATATGTGAAGCCCATTTCTGGTGTCCGCCGCCGTGATATTGCTGGGTTATTGCTAAAGGCGACGTAAAGTCATACCCACTCACTCACTCAGTGTTCAGTGCTCAGATCGTCCTTCTCCTATATAACAGTCTGCAGTGACAAACTATGATAATAAATATGAACCATAAATAACGGTAACCTTTCCTCGG